ATAGAGACAGAAAGCGAGAAATCACCCCCCAGGGGGGATGGTCACGCCACAATCCCTTCTCCTCCATTCTCCTCTCGGGATCTTGGGCACGTACGCACACGTGCCCGGCGTGAGTTTTAAGCCACCGGGTCTGGGACACGAACCGCGGTCGACTACGTGGGAGTCCAGCGACATAGCCATTATGCCAACTGCTGGTCCCCCAGGAGAGATTTTTTTTTTTTTAGGAATTATTTTATTGAGGCCGGCAAGTAGCATGGTGGTTAAAGGCGTTGGACTCCCACGTGGCTAACTGCGGTTCAAGTCCTGGACCTGGTGGCTTGCTTTCTCACTCCCCCCTCCCCCCTTCCCCACTCTGTGCCTCTCTGGTCAAATTTAAAAGTAAATAAATAAATAAAGTTAAATTTTAAAAGTATTTTATTTAATTTTATTTATTTATTTACTTTTTTAAAAATGTGACCAGACTTTTTAGGATTTTTTAAGCTGTTTTTAGGACTTTTTCTTTTCTTTGAAATTAAAAAAATGTGACCAGACTCTGTAGGATTTTTTAAGCTGTTTTTAGGACTTTTTCTTTTCTTTGAAATTAAAAAATAGAGGTCAGCCAGTGGCGTGGTAGTTAAAGTGCTGAACTCCCACATGGCCAACAACAGTTCAAGCAGTTCGAACCTGGTGGCTTGAAAATCACTCTGGTTACATGTGCATGCAGGGCCAAAAAAAATCCCAGGAGGAGAATGGAGGAGAAGGGATTATGAAGTGGCCATCCCCCCAGGAGGTGATTTCTCACTTTCCCTCTCTCTCTCTTTGACAAGCATGCACAACCTATGGCAAAAACCTTAGAAAAATAGTAATAAAATCAAATTTAAAATGAATAAGATAAAATTCTTAAAAAAAAAATGTTTTTAATTCTCCTGCTAGGTATTAAAAGAGTAGGGTTCTGGGGCACCGAGAACACTGCTTACCTGAAAAGCCAGCTCTTCTCCCTGCCCTCTCCCCCAATTTTTTTTGTTTGTTTGTTTTCAGAGAGAAAGTTTTTCCATCTGGTCTCTTGTTTTCCATGTCTTCTGGTGTCTTTTTTGAAAACCTCTTAACTGGTAGATCAGACGGCCACTCTGTCTTCTCTGTTACTGTTCTTTCTTCCTTTTTGCTTTCTCTTTTCTTTTTTTCATCTATTTATCTTTGTATTCAGCATTCCAGGTATTTTCAAGTTTGGCTTTTCTGCAGGATTCATTCTCTCTGTTGCTGCCTCCAATTCATTTTCATGTTGCTGTGGGATTTCTAGTTTCCATTGGGTCTCTCCTAATCCCAGCTCCCATCTCACACTGCATTTCAGCCTGAGGAGTTTGTTTTCATTGTTGTTTTTAGTTAAACCACTACCTCTTCTCCTGAATGCACACATCACACCACAGGATCCCTACTGCCCGGTTCTCCTTACAGAGTACAAACCCTCATGTTTCACACTTGGATTTTATCTTTTATTTGTTTTTGGTTTATTGTAGTTAATATTTTGAGCTAGGCATTTCCATTCAGTTCAAGACAATGGCCCCCTATTGTGCTGTGCAGGATTTTCCCATGGGTGCCATATTGCTTTTCTCCTCTCTTACTTTTGAATGAAGGAAGAAGCCATGGTAAGTGTGTGGATCACCCTTGAGGTGGCTGAGATAATAGCAGCAGCCCCCTCTCAGACCTAACGCTGGTGGAGCACTTCATGTGCTCATCCAAATCGAATTCCCAATACTGAGCAGGCATTCCATGTCCTGGTGAACTTTGCTCACCCAAAACAGAATCCTCCCTGATACCACAGACAATCAGGCAGAAACTAAGCCAAGATATAGTACTGTGATCAGGTGCAAACAATCTTTTGAAACCCCAGTCTAGTGGCATCATAGTTAGGGAAGCTGGATCCCACACGGCCAGCTGCATGGCTTGAGTCCTGGCCTCAGCGCATGAGAAGCACACTGGACACACGCATGCGTATGTGTCCAAAGTCCCACAGGAGAATGGAGGAAAAGGGACTGCAGCAAGGCCATCCCCCCAAGGAGGTGCTCTCTCACTTGCCTGTCTCGCTTTCTCTTTCTTTCTTTGGCAAGTGTACATACCCTATCACAAATTAAAAACAGGGGCCAGCAGTTGGCATAATGGCTATGTTACTAGACTACCAGGTAGTTGACCGCGGTTTGAGTCCCGGACCCAGTGGCTTAAACTCACGCCGGGTGCATGTGCGTGTGTGCCCAAGATATCCTGAGAGGAGAATAGAGGAGAAGGGATTGCAGCGTGGCCATCCCCCCTGGGGGGTGATTTCTTGCTTTCTGTCTCTCTGTGTCTCTCTGTCGTTCTGGTGAGCACACATGCCCTATAGCAAAAACCTCTCCAAAAACACACACAGAGAAAAAAAGCTCCAGTCCCTGGTGTGCACTGCCCCTGAGCCATTTCCTGACCCAGAAGCCTTTGCCTAGGAGCATCACCCATGAAGGACACAATGAATTACCTGGTCTCCTGCCATTGGCACAGCCCTGAACCTCCAAGGCCAGGAATGAGGGCAGTGCTGATGGAAGTTGCCGTTGTACACAGGCACAGAGCTTTGCTAGTAGTTATAGACTCTGTCCACCAGCAGGGACAGACAGGGGAAGGAAATGAAGCTTTAAGCTCCCCCCTACCTTTGACCTTCTGGGGAGGCACGGGAGGGGGCTGTTCCCCAGATGATAATAGCACTTCAGTTAGTAGTGTTACTCCCAAGTCTGGTGAGGAGACTGCTGGCCTTAGATAGCACCTTCATTGGACACAAGGAACAGATGTCAACCAAGTCATCTCTGAGGGCCTTCTCTCTCTGGAAATGCTGAGATTCTGGCATTGAGAAAGCTCAGCCAAAATGAGCAGTGTGCAGGGATACTGGACTGTAGGAACAGCCCAAGGTACCTTCTACAACCTGCTCTCACATGTTCTATTTCTTTTGGTGGCATAGTCATCAGACCTAGAATCTTCATGTAATCTACGGAGTTCCTTTTCCATCACCCATTACAACTCACCACTTAGAAAACACTATTAACTGTGAGATGTCTCTTGAATCTATCCTGTGTCAGTCAGCTATTGCTGCATAACAAGCTATAGCAAAGTCTCAGTGGCATACAACAATCTTGCATTTAGATTATATAGAGAGGTATATCAAGGATCATCCAGGCAAGGCTGGACTTGGGGGGACCCTACTCCATGTTGTCTCCATCTTCCCTCTGGGGCCATCAGGCCAGCCCAGAGATGGGTTTCTCTTGATGATAAAAGAAGTATAAGAGTCAGCATAAGTACTGGAACCAACAGTTAGTGTAATGGCTATGACGCTGGACTCCCATGTAGTTGACCATGGTTCCCGTCCCCAACCTGGTGGCTTAAGACTCACGCCAGGCATGTGTACGTGTGTGTCCAAGATCCCAAGAGGAGAATGGAAGAGAAGGGATTGCAGCATGGCCATCCCCCCTGGGGGGTGATTTCTCACTGTCTGTCTCTCTGTCTCTGTCTGTCTGGTGAGCACACGTGCCCTATAGCAAAAACCTCTTAAAAAAAAAAAAAAAGAGTCAGCCTAAGTACTTAAGGCACTTGATCAGAATTAGTACCCTATTACTTCTGTTGCATTCTATTGGCCAAAGCAAGACATGTGACCAAAGATAAGGGGTGAGGCGATTATATCTCTGAATATAATTTAATCTATCACAGAATCTTAGTGCTCAACTGCAGAGAGTTCAGGCTGTCATCCTGCCTGGACTTGTGCAGTGACCTCCTGGCTGGTCTCCACACCTCTGCTCTATTAATTTTCCTAAAGAGCACAGTTATGACAGTGGCATTCCATGACCCCATCCACACCCTAAAAGCTTCCCTACTGACCACCACATGGGACCCAGCTCCTCAGTGGGTTCCAGTTATTCACACTGCAGCCCAGCCTTCTTCCCCAGCCCTGTGCCTATTTTTCCTCTCTACCCCACCTATGCTGGATCCAGGCTGGACTACGCCTCCATGTTTCCCAAATGTCCATGGGATCCTCTCTGTGCTTGCTTCTTCATTGCCATTTTCTCCATCCAAAATGTCCCCACGTCCCTATGTTAGCATCCGAGCCTCTTTCAAGGCCCTGATATCTAGGCCTGGAGGCCAGACAGTGGCACAGTAATAAAAGTTGATACTCTCTGGGGCTGAGCCTCATGGGAAGATTCCTGGTTTGTGCCTAGAGACTTCCCTGAGTTCCCCAGGCACGTGCATGTCCACAGTCTAGGACTAGCAGAAGGCTGGGGGCAACTAGATCACGGCACCAAGACCCTATCAGGAGCTCGCTCTCTCTCTCTCTCTCTCTCTCTGTCTCTCTCACTGAGGGAAAAAAATATATAAACTTTTTAAAAAAGAAACAAACAAACTCCTGCCTTTGGGTCCAAAGTCCCTTTAGTGGAGCCCCCTCATGGATTTTAATACTTCTGTCTCGTACAACCACGATGAGTGAACATGTCTTCTCCCAGCCACTACTGCAAGATCCAGCACACAGTGGGGCAGGACACTGGTATGGGAAGAACGAATGAACGAATGAATGAATGCCTCTGACTTCCTGCTGTCCTCGAGCGCCCTTCCAGGCAGGGCGGTAGCCTGCGTCTATGTCCCCCTGCTGCCGCTGGGATGTGCCTCCACGGCCCATTGCGACCACTGGCAGGCAGTTACTGGGTACCCTCCCTGGTGTGGTCGGCCTGATGCAGGGGTTAGCAGAGGGCAGTAATTTAGCCACAGGGAGCTGAATGAAGGAGATGAAGGCCCAGGGGCCCCTGCAAAGGACGGTGACCTGCACAGGTTTGGGCACTGCCCAGAGGGAAGGAAGTTACACTCCCAGTCTGAGGGCACCTGAAGAAGGGATGCCAGGGCCAAAGTTTGCCCACCTACACGTCCATTGAAGACGTGGGATTCGCCTGCCGCCAGGCAGCCCCAGCCCCAGGTGCCATGGGCCAGCGAGCAGGCTGACGCAGTCTCTTGTGTTTCCACAGAAGGACTTCACTGTGCGCGAGGAGCTGCAGCAGCGGGACGTGGAGCGCTGGCTGGGCTTCATCACATTCCTGTGCGAGGTGTTCGGCACTATGCGCAGCAGCACGGGCGAGCCCTTCCGCGTGCTCGTGTGCCCCATCTACACCTGTCTCAGGGAGGTAAGAGCGCGCCTCGAGGCACCGCCCAAGTTGGGTCGCTTGGAGGTACAGAGCCTTTGGTAAAGAGAAATGTAACTCCCTGTGCTCTGCTTTCTAAAGCCAGGTTTGTTTTGTTTCCGCCTTCTTTTCTTTTTCATTGAGAAATTATTGTCTGTACTTCTAGGATACCGTGGGATGTTTTGATGTGTGTTTTTGCATTGTGGCATGGTCAAGTCGGAGACATTAGCATATCTAACCCCCTCAAATAGTATCATTTCTTTCTGGTAAGAACATTTAGAATCCTCTTTTAGCTATTGTAAAATATCTAATACAGGTCCGGGCCCTTAGCATAGTGGTTAAGTGCTGCACGTAGGGTTAAGTGCTAGATCCTACATGGCCAACTGAGGTTCAAATCCTAGGTCCGGGAGCTTGAAAAACAACTCAGGCATGTGTGCATGCATGTTCAAAGTCCCAATGAGATGGAAACATGGAGGGAAAAGGATTGCAGTGTGACCACACCCATTCAGGGGTTTTCTGTCCTTTCTCTCTCTTTCTCTCCCTGGCAAGCGCACATGCCTTCTGCCAATTAAAGAAAAGGAAATATGCAATACATTACTATTATCTTTATTCACCCTGCCGTGCAGCAGAACCTAGTACTTATTCCCCTAATGTAACGTTCACCCGTTGGCCAACATCTCTCCTTTCCCCGTCTACCCCAATCACCCAACCAGGCCTCTGGTAACCCCCATTCTAACCCTCTACTTCTGTGAGTCTCACTTTTAAATTCCACACGTGAGATCATAGTGGGGCATGTCTCTCTCTGTGCATGATATAATGTCCTCTGGATTCACCCACGTTGTTGCAAATGTCAGAATTTCCTTCTCTTTTGAGGAATGGAAGCGTACTCCAGAGTGTATGTAGACCACGTTTTAACACGCTCATTGGCTGATGGTCATCAGGTTGTGTCTGTATCTTGGCTACCATGCGAAATGCTTTCATGAGCAGGGGAGCGCTGTGGCAGAAGAGTCACAGCCTAGGAGACCCCGTTACAGGGCCCTATCTCTCTGTCTGTCTGCCTGTCTCTCTCTCGTTAAAAATAAATAAACTATCTTTTTACTATTATTAAAAAAGAAAGAAAAAGAAAAGACCTGGGGATGGGGGAGAGGGTTGTGTAAAGAATCAGTGTACACTTGGTGCTCAAGGCTGGAGACCGGCTGGAATCACCCAGGGAGAGGGTGCAGTTGGAGGAGAGGGGCCGAGTCAGGTGAGGAGGTGCAGGAGGAATGGCCCGGGAGAAGGATGCAAGACAGGAGTGTGAGGTGTCAGAGAAGGCTCCAGAGGGGTGGGGAAGAGGGTTGGTATTTCAACAGAGCTCCTGCCAGCCACACACCTCACATGTGTGGCCCCCTCTACCCTAATCAGTTCTCTGCAGTGGGTACAGGATGTAGTTGGGGGCAGGCTCTGCAGAATCCAAGGACCAGGACAGGGAGGTGTCCTGGGTTTGGCAACCAGGAGATCAGGGGGACCTGGGTGTCAGTGGAGGAGAGCACAGGAGTGAGGACATGTCTTTGAAGAAGTTTTTCTGAGAAGGGCAGTTGAGAAAGGGGAAGAGTGGGGTCAAGGCACATCTTTGTGTTTTTGAAAGAAAGAAGATAATAGAGCAATTTAAGAGAAGGGGGCAGTGTATTTGAAAGTATTTTGAAGCATCTATTTACAGAACAGTAGTGTGTTCGCTCCAGATCAAAGCAGAGCACGCAGGCCTCTCTTGGGCTCTTCGTAAACCGTAAGATTCTACCTCGCCTCGTAGCCAGACCATGTTTAACAAATGCACTCGAATTCCAGTCATTTCACAGATTCAGACAACTGCTTCTCCCAACTATTCTGCTGTCCGTGGTTCTTGATCTCAGAAGGCAGCCCCAAGAGGGCCAGTAGCTTTGCGTTTTGCACCCCTTTGGGGTGACTTGAAGGCAGCACTCCTGGAGAAAGGGAGCTGTCCCTCGGAATCCTCCCATCCCTGCCTGCACAGCCCTGGTCCCCTGACAGCCCACCTGAGGAGGAGCAGCCCCATTCTAGAGCAGTGACCTGAATTTCCCCAACACGTTCACTGCGCGTGATCTGGACACCTCCTGGTATTGTCGTCACCTGCTCCCCCAGCAGGAAGCCAGCTCTAGCTGAGTGCTGGCCCTGGCTGCTGAGACACTTTTAACACTGCCTGAGGGGGTGCAAACTTCCTGGTGTGAGATCCGGAAGGTGCCAGGAGGTCTGTGCAGACAGGAGACAAAGCGCCACTCCTAACGCACTGAACTTTTCGGACAGTTTGTCCATCACAGACCCATACCGTGCTCGTGGTAAACACGAAGGGTAAACGAATTACCCAAGGCTTCCACCTGTTTGTAAAACAAGATCCCAGAGCCCATGTTCCAAGCTTTTATATCATCCCTGGGGCCAGGCTGCTGCCTGGGTTCAATCGCTGGCTCCGCTGTTATTTAGCTTTGCCATACTTGAGAGTTTACCTGCTCTGAGTGTTCATCATCTACCTAGGGGCTGATGCTGCTTTCTCTGTGAAGAGAAAGTTTAGGGGGGTTTAGGGAGGACAGCGTGGCTTGGAGAGGGAGCTAAGTGCTCTAGGGCAGAGTTTGAGGTATGGAGGGGAATACCCGGGGGATCCATTCTTAACCACTGTGCTACAGGGTCAACCCTTCACTGATATTAATTACAGGGGCTGGCAGGTGTGTGGTTGTTAAGGGCGCTGGATTCCCATATGGTTGACCATGGTTCTAGTCCCAGACCTAGGGGCTTGCTTTCTCTCTCTCTCTCTCACATACACACACACACACACACACACACACACACTGGTCAAATTTAAATAAATAAATAAATAAATAAATAAAGTTAAATAAAGTAATTTTTTTTTTATTTTATTGAATCGAGATCTACCCTCTTAACAGTTTTTTGTTTTTTTGTTGTTGTTGTTGCTGTTTTTAAGGTTTATGCCATAGGGCACACACACTCACAGGAAAGAGAGAGAGACAATGAGAGGGAAAGTGAGAAATCACCCCCCTGGGGAATGGCCATACCACAATCCCTTCTCTTCCTCAATCCCATCTCTTGACAGGGATTACATTGACTCTGTAGATCACTTTGGGTAGTGTAGACATTTGACTTTAGGCACGCACACACATGCACCTGGTGTGATATTCAAGCCACCAGGTATGGGACTTGAATTGTGGTATGCCATGTGAGAGTCAAGAGTCATAACCACCACACCACCTGTTGCCCCCAATGTACTTTTAGGCATTCAAATCAATACCATTATCTGTAGGCACAGTGTTGTACAACAGATCTCTAGAACTTATTCATCATGCATAAATGAGCTTCTAACTCATTGAATAGCAGCTCTCCATTTCCCCAGGCTCTGGAAACCACAACTCTACTCTTTGCTTCTATGGGTTTGACTATTTTAGATATGGAATGTAAGTGGAATCATGTGGTATTTGTCCCTCTGTTACTGGCTCATTTCACTTAGTGGAATGTTCTCAGAGTTCATCCATGTTGTTGCATATTGTAGAATTTTCTTCTTAAGGCTGCGAAGTATTCCATTGTGTATATGCACCATATAAAGAGTGAAAGAGACAGAGACACAATACCCACAACACCCTGAAGTCTTAGCCAACCTGGGGCATATCCAGTTGCAACACCATTGCACATCAGCACCACTGTCTAGCTCCACATTTTTCAACCCATTCGTGTTATCAATAGACATTTGCATTGTTTTCACATCTGGGCTTATTGTGAATAGGGCTGCAGTGGATGTGGGAATTTTCAAATCTCTTTGAGATCCACATTTTGGTTCTTTTGGATAAATACCCAGAAGTTGGATTTCTAAATCATATAGTTCTTTTTTTTTTTTTGAGAATTTTTTCGTTTGTTTGTTTGTTTGTTTGCTATAGGGTACGTGTGCTTGCCAGAAAGACAGAGAGAGACAGAAAGCAAGAAATCACCCCCCGGGGGGATGGCCACGCTTCAATCCCTTCTCTGCCATTCTCCTCTTGGGATCTTGGGCAGACACGCACATGCACCCGGCATGAATTTAAGCCACTGGGTCCAAGACTCAAACCACGGTCGACTACATGGAAGTCCAGCAACATAGCCATTATGCTAACTGCTGGTCCTGTATTTTTAATTTCTTGAAAAACTTCCATACTGTTTTCCACAGAAGATGCACTATTTCATATTCCCACCAACAGTGTATAAGGGTTCCAATATCTCTGCATCATCACCAACAATTATTGTCTTTCGGTTTTGTTTGTTTGTTTGTTTGTTTATTTGGTTGGTTTGTTTGGTTTGGTTTTTTTTTTTTTTTTTTTTTTGGTAATAGCCATCCTAACATGTGTGAAGTGAAATCTCATTGTGGTTTTTCTTTAAATAATAATTATTATTTTATTTAACTTTTTTTTTTTTAATTTTTAATTTGACCAGAGAGGGACAGAGTGAGAGACAAAGAAGGAAAGTGAGAGAGCAAGCCACCAGGTCCAGGAACTGAACTGTGGTCGGCCATGTGGGAGTCCAGCACCCCAACCCACCACACCACCTGCCAGCCCCTCATTGTGGTTTTGATTTTCATTTCCCTGGTTATTGATGAAATTGAGCAACTTGTCATATACCTGTTAGAAAAAGGTCTATTCAAATTTTTTTTTTTTGAGAGATTTTCACTGTTCACTCGCCAGACAGACAGAGAGAGACATAGAGACAGAAAGCGAGAAATCACCCCCCAGGGGGGATGGTCACGCCGCAATCCCTTCTCCTCCATTCTCCTCTCGGGATCTTGGGCACGCACGCACATGCGCCCGGCGTGAGTTTTAAGCCACCGGGTCCGGGACACGAACCACGGTCGACTACGTGGGAGTCCAGCAACATAGCCATTACGCTAACTGCTGGTTCCCAAGGTCTATTCAAATCTTTACCTAACTTTTTAATTGGATTATTTGGTTTTTTTGCTATTGAGTTATAGTAGTTTCCTA